GATACAAACCATATATTAACAAATACTAATTGCTTAAGATTAGGTTGTTCATCTATGTGATCAATCCTACCGTCTGCTTGGATACGAACCACCCCAACCACCACCACAACCTACCAACCAACCAACCAATCAACCACAACACAAAGAAATCTCCAAAAAAAACGACAGAAATCTTTTATCTTTTCCGGTCGTTCTTTTCATAACCGACAGACAACATCCGGATATGCAGGAAGAAAGAATCGTTTTTCATGGTATGAGTTCATCATGACGAAGATAATTTTCGAACGGAAAAGGAGAATAACCTTTGAAGAAATGAAAAACCAATAGTTCAGAAGGAGGAAGGACATAGAGAGAGGGAAAAAGAATGAGAGGAAAAAAGCTTTTAAAAGGAGCAGAAAAACTAAAAGTGAAGAGAAGATGAACCACTTTCATATAAGAAAATTTGAAGAGAGAAGGTGATAGAGAGTAAGAGAGAGAGAGAGGGTAATGAGAAGGAGAGAGATAGTGAGAGAAGGTAGACAAGAGATTATGACAGAAGGAAAGAAAGAAATTAACAGCGATTCTATTCACTTGTTGAGAAAATAAAAACAAAAGACGTAAAAGGTGAGAAAAGAGAAAAATTTATTTGCAAATCTGTGGGAGTTAGATGCTTGAATAAGAGTAAAGAGTGACAGAAAAGGTGAATAACCGTTGTCAAAATATCATATGTACACACATCTATCTCTAAGGATTCTGATGTCGTTTCAACATCTTCTCTACACATGACGTCATGTAAACGAAAGTAAGATTAACAAACTATATGAAGATATAAGATATTTGAGTAAACGTTACATATTAATAAAAGAGAGAGGGATAGAGAGAGTAAGAGAGAGAGAGAGAGAGAGTAATACATCATAAGCAGTATGAGAGAGGTAGAAAGGATTTTCTTTTTTTCATCAAAATCATTGCGTTCATCTCTTTCGACCAAAAAAATAAATAAATAACGAAGAGGAGCTGTGAGATAAGAAGCTTCATGTACAGCTTAGAGATGTTGCGGATTTGTTCATCATAAGAATGGATTCAGAAGATTTCTTTTTTTCTTCTTCTTCTTCTCCTTCTTCTCCTTCTTCTACACATACAAATGAGAGGAATGAAAGAGAAAAATGCATGGATATGGGCAATGAGCTTCATCCTTACAGCTGACAAATGTTCCTCAATTGACATGATTTGGAGACAAAAAAGAGAGATTGAAGATGACAATCGCAAATTAGTTGGCTGAAGAAGAGAATGAAAATAAAGAAGAAAGAATCAAACACAAAATGTTTATTTCTCAATGACATCCTTATAAGGTAGATAGAGAGATAGATGGAGATGTTTGAAAATGAGGATAAAGGTTGGACCAATGAGAATGGCGGTAAGTACAAATGAGACTTATCGATTGTATACTGTTGGAAGTGTCGAGACAAAAAATAGATTTTATAAACAATATTGCCTTAAACATACATGTTTTAACGAATGTTGATGGGACTTAATTTAATGATTTTTGAAAGCATTGTGCCGTAGGCAATTTGATGTAAAATGTACGAGAGAGATTGATGAAAAGGAAATTATGTGATTTCGCATGAACGCATAGTTACATTCTGTGAGATGTGTAAGTACAATAGAAGTTATGGAAAAGTGTCTGAGAAGAGTTCATAAAGGGATCTGTTGTTAACTTTCATATTGAAGATATTCAAGTGACACAGTGAGAGAGAGAGAGAGAGAAGAAGAGAGTTATAGAATGCGAGAATGACAATCTCAAACAAAGTCAATCGGAAATAGAGAGCTCAAGGTGTGAAGATGGCTTTTGTTTGGAATGAAAACGATTCACCGGCATAGAGCGGTATAGCAAGAGGAGACTTCACAATCGTTTTTTCTTTTTCATTTGTTTTTTTTCTGACACAACAACCCAAAAGATGACATTTACAATAAGATGGTATAGCTTGATGAGTTTGAAGAGAGATTTTGAAATGAAATGTGGTGGAAGAGGAAGGGGGGAGCAGATAATCATAGCCTTCTATGTACAGCAGTGATGTCAATCAATCGTCACTTATATGGTTGTGTGCAGGAGGATTGTTTAAGAAAGCAGAGAGGAAAAGAAAAATTCTTTTTGTTTCCAAATTGTCAGACAATTCAGTTTGGAGTTGCAACTCTCAAACATACAGATATGACTTTTTGAATATTTGAATGAAAACTTCAATCAGATGAATGACAGACGAATGAATGAATGTACATGATCTCTTCTCTATCTAGGTTGACAAACAGTTTCTAATAAGCGAAGCAAGTTTTCCTTACCCCCCATGTCAGTACTATATATAATTTGCATTAAGAACATACGATATGTCAGTTTTGACTCTCATTTTTTTGGTGGGATGCAAGGAGAGAAGATAGGAGATGCCTGTTGTACGTTCTACCACACAAACACTTCATTACTTATGCATTTAGCTAAGCTTAGACGTCTTGAGACATCTCATTTCAACTATGATTAGCAAATTTTGAGACGATTTTGAGAGAAGTAAAATAAGGAAAAGCCACTGTATCTTCCATTCCATCTCTCATTCGGCCTCTTTATCCTCTCTCTACTTGCTATGCTCACTCTCGTTATTTTCCCTGTTTTTAATTTTTTTGTTATGAAAATGGTTAATTAAGGAAAAAATAGAAAGAATATGAGTTGGTCATCTTATTGATCTCACTTATGTACGACTTACTTTTGAAAAAAAACTTTTTCTCTTCTCATTCTATCTATCTCACTCTCTCTCTCTCTCTTCATTAGACTGTCTCCTGCTCTCTCTCTCATTCTCCCCCTTTGTAATAAAATTGAACTTAAAGACAAGTTGTCAAGCTTTCACTTGAAGCTTCTTTGACCTTTTAAAGTTTTTGCTTTGTCTTAAACACATCCTGTTCAGCTCATTTACCACTATATACGACAAGTCAATTGCATTGCTAAGCCAAAGAAGATAAATAGAAGGCAAATAATAATTGGGAAACTTACAAAACTTACAAATGTTTTACGTTTGCAGGATCAAGAGGAAGGAACAACGGAGAGCGGGAGAGCAAGTGAGGGAGGGAATAGTTATTAATGAGAGGGAATAGCAATAAGAAGTGAACAACCGTGTCTGATAGTCTGTGAACGATGAATGATTTTCACGTGCGCGTCTATACTACGTGAATCATCCACGTGTGTAGCTAGCTTGAAAGCTCATGTGTATAGGATGTTTATGCAAATTAATGTGTATATCATAAGATATATAAATATGGAATTGATGGTAAAACAAACAGAACATCAAAGAGTGTGAAGATAACAAAAGCTTCATAAAACATCATTTTCAGTTACTATTTGTAGGTAAGAATCATATTACATCTTATACATATTCGTATATGGATCAGAAAAGCTTTCTCATACAATGAATAGACTTGAAGTTTTTGGCAAACTTCGTCTGCTGATCGTATCGAATTGAAAAGGAAAATGAGTAAAAATAGAATTGAAAGAGGATGGGATAGAGAGAGAGAGAGAGGGAGAGAGAGAGGTGGAGCAGTATAAGAATGAGAGAGGGGGAGAGGAAACAACGAGGGAAAATATAAGAAAGAAATGAAAAAAAGAACTGTGAAACCCTCGTATGAAAACACAATGAGAGGAAGAGAGAGAGAAAGTTGGAGATATTGGAGAGTAAATGGAAGTAGCTAAGAGAGAGAAAATGACAAGGAACATGTACGGCTATGCATAATCCGTTCTTGTTTCCTTAAAACCTATTAATACATTAAAAGTTGAGAGCAGGCTATGACTCTCTCTCTCTTTCTCACTAAACTTGTGAAATACAGCAATTTTATGTAAAATTAATGATTAAATTCATTTAAAATACAACAATGAGAGTAAGGGTAGTTGTTTTCATTGTAAGTGACCTTTCTTGTGAGATGACGGTGCTATGTGTTATGCTCTGATGGAAAAGGATGTTTGTGTCAATTATGACATGTGTTGATCACATATTATTAACTGTATAAATAATGAAAGACAAAGAAAAGCTCAAAAATAGTATAATTAAAGGATCTGTTCATCAAAATCTGATGGCAGGGGCCATCTTATAGGTCTTTGTATTAACCCCATCCATCCTCATCAGCCAGATTCATCCATCTGCAAGGTAATCATCACATGCACACACTCTCATATCCATTTTTTGGTTCATTGAATAACAAAAAAAAATGGAGAAGCGTTTGAGATCAATTAAGAAAATTATTTTTTTCTCTTAACTTGTTTCTTAGTTCTCTCTCTCTCTCTTTCTCTCTAAGTCATTGGTGAAATGAGTAGTTTGAATGTGTCTGAAGGTGAAAGAGGGGTTAACACTGCAGACGCTGCTGACCCCGTTATGGGTAATCCAGATCGTATGTCTTTTCATTATAAAATATATATTATAATATATATGTGTGTGCGTGGCTGTGTATGTGTGTGTGGAGTTGTTATGGATATGATTCAGAGGAACAAACCAAGCACGTCATCAAAAGATAATTGCTATTGCATTCTGCACAAAGGGCATAAAATAAGAATTTTAATGAAAAAAAAACAAAAAAAAAAGAATAAAAACGATCAAAATATGATTTTTGTGGGTTTTTTCCCGCGTTTCTTCTACCAGCATATGAAACAAATTTCGAGAGAGATCATGTGCATTCCATGCGTACATGCGATGGTTTGTGCATTTGATCAGACTACACTAATCTGTAGTTCCATAGATGTTGATCAGTTTATATAAGGTTATTGGAGCAAAAGATAAACTGTGAAAAGTTATTGTTGTCGCTTCATTGAACACATGTGAACAAGTGGGAAAGAAGTTTGTTCGATGTTCTCGCCAATTATGTATTTCTTTAATGAATTAATTATTTTGTGACCTTCATGTATGATTAGAGAATGGATGGTACAGTTGTTATCTATAGGATTTATTCTTAGAGTTACGTACAATACATACATTCAGGATGAGATGTCATTCTCTCAATTATTCTGATTTTGGCATAGTCGAATTGGAAGATGATGCTGATGCGATCATTCGGAGTTGTCGCTTTCTACGGCTGTAGGGATCGTAGAAGGGTTGGTTTCCGCCGCAAGTTAAGCATGGTTGGTTACATGTCAAACATGGTGGCATTGTTACTGGGGGAAGTGTTGGCTGTAATCATTGATTATCAGATTCATATTAAGCTCATTGTGCCTACCTGGTTACATGTAGTACATGGAACGGGATCACGTTGACATGTGTTACAAACAGGACAGGGAATGTTTGCATTACATGATTCTTGTTCTTGTGAGTTTCCGAGGCACTGAAAATATGTTTTTTCATAATCAGGTATCTTCACATCTTCTTTTCAATTTTCCAAAAATGGAAGTAAGACTCACTCCAGTTATACAGGTACAACGACGGTTTCTGGATCGGTAACCTCCAGTTCCGCAAGAAACGCTGCATTCAGTCCAAGCAGACCACTTAATAAGGAACGTTTTGTTTCGAAGAAGATATCGGTTGCCTACCTGTCCCCATTCACAACATGGCTGGATGTTACATGGCTTGGATTCAACACTGTTTCCAACACACCCACATGAAGAGCATTGATTGTTGCACTGACGTGAGCGAGTGCAAATTCCATCGCCACAAGAAGCACTGAACGGTTTTCGCTTTAGCATTAACTATCATCTATTGATCTTTCAAGAGTTTTGGCAGAGTCAACAGAGATTTCAAAAATAGATATGCTACTGTCAAACTTTTTCTTTTCATTTGTTTTATAATGTAAGAAGGAGAACAACAAAATACCTGCAGGTTCCCCAGGCTCCCCAAGTACCCCATTCTGGAGATGGTTGGTATTGTTGGCAAGGTCGAGATTCAGAGGATGATCCTCCTTCACACTGAGCAGCAGTGCAAATACGCTGACGAGTTTGTGACATGGCTTAAACATGATAATAAGCAAATCACGTGAGAAGACATTTTTCTTAATACTTACTTCCATATTCATAAGCACAAGCAGACCATGGTCCCCATTGGCCCCATTGCCCATATACAGGTTGATTACAAGATAAGCAACCGTTAGGGTTAGCTTGTACTCCAGATCCTACAACATAAGCAGAAACATCTAAAAATGATGTTAAATTAGAAATATATTTTATGAGTTGTGATAATTACTTGTAGCGAATAAGCTGAGAATGATTATGCAAGCTGAGTAGTTGATCATCGTGCGTTCGTCGGAACTGAATGCCACTGGCAGTCATCTCTGCCTTCTTATACCCAAGCATCTTGTCTTTTGTGTACATACAGTTTTTAAATCAACTAATATCTGTCGATTCACCCACCGAACTGAGTCTATTTGATTTTAAGCGTCAAATTTTGCACCTTTTCGAGAAATTGTGGAAGGAATCTCTTCAGCAAGCGTTGTCATTATTCAAATATGGGCATATAAGCATATATGGAAATAAGTAATCCAACCCATCATCTTCATACCTTTCATCTTGCCATACATTCTAATGATTTGTATCATGTGTTCTGGCATCATGATTTCATGAGTCATACTCTGAGCTCACTTGATAACTTGTTTCTCTGTCAACATTCAATAACCATGGTCTTCAACTGATCTTCCCAGCTTTCACGTAACGAACAAATATTGATAGCTAAGCATGTTAAGAGATTGACACTTATTTTTTACATTAAGGTGAATCATTTATATTTCTCTAATCAAACGTTCTACTTGAACTTCAATGGGAATTCGATATGGCAGACTCGAGTTCTGGTTTTGGAGTCTCTGCGAAATCTCAGAAGACTTTTCTCAGAACTATTCATTCGAACTACAATATTATTGTTTGTGTTATGGTCTCTCTTTCTTGTCGATTCTATTCAAAAGTAGCTTTCTAAAGATTCTGAAGATCTCATGAATCTCAAGGATGATCTAAGAATCCAGCATTTCCCAGGTATCTTCATGTGTGGTGAACTTTCTTCTTATTTGACTCGAAGTAAGTACTAACCCTCGACCGAATATGGAAAGAACAGTCTAATAGGAAAGAGTGAAGATCAGAAGCTAATAATAGAAATATATTTATTGAAGAAAAAGCGAAATCTACATGCGACAAAAGCACAAACGAAACTTTCAATATGCGTTTAATATAATTGAATTAGATTAAAGCTTGAAACAAATCATTCACTTCCTGATTAGTTGGAAATAGTCCATAGCCCAATCCACATCAAAGGTGAGCTTTAGTTTTCTCAAAGTGTCCGCATCCACAACACTGTAAAAGAGTAGAAACGTTTATCAATTACATAGTCGAGACCAGAAGAGAGTTGCAACGTCTTGACCGACAAGCAAAGAAGAGGACAAGCGGTATCAAGCAGATGCCACACGATTACTACATACTCAAAGTAGATTTTCCAGAGCGTTAGAAAGCAAGGGGAACCATGAACCTTGAGTTTGATTCAGTCATCCTACCTATGACTGGGAATACAGGAATAACCAATTCGGTGATACTCAAACACTCAACTTCTTGATCTTGATCCGATTGCCAGATATTCTTCCGAGCTATCTATTTAGAGAAACGAATGCAGAATTTGCTCTGAAGTTTCATCAAACAGACAGTTGAAGTAAGTTATACCGTGTACCTTGTTATGAGCGTCCATAGTATCACTCAGTTAACTAGTGGTAATGCAATCTCAGGGGAATCTCCAAAGACTTCTTAGAAATATTCATTCAAACGACAATATATTTGTTAAAGTGATCTTCTTTTTCTATAATCAACTCGTTTTTGGGCAAAATTGAAACTATTGAATTGTTAACGTGGCATACAAAGCAATATCTGAGAATGCTTGATTAATTTTTACTTCCCGTTGGTCTCGCGGGATGGAGCAAAAAAACCATGCGGCATTCAAATGTTAGACGCAACGTCAATCTGATCTGGGAAGTACACTGATTACGGTGCCAAATTAGTAACTTTTCAAAATCCTCTCGAGAGCTGGAAGTATTTTTGACGTAACTAATAGAAAATATAGTTTGAAGAAGCTCAAATCAGGATTAATGAGGTCTGTTTTCAACAAAAAGTTCTGCGTTCTATAACATCATCGAGATTAGAAGATTGTTTTTTTGAGATAAAAATGAAAAGTTCATTCCTTTTGAAACTTCCTCTAGACCGGTCATGCACTCACGTTTCATGTTTAGGTTAGCTTTGCTGTGGGCGGTTGTGCCGTTCGTTCTCGTTGAAGACGAATCTTGTTGCTGATTCATGTGTTGAAATTGACGTAGGATGAGAACCGTTCTCTTCATCCCAAACGTTTAACAAGACAAGTAGGACAAATCTGTTGAGAGAACAATTTTTGTGCTTTGATGAATAAAGAAAAATGAATTGAAAATTATGGATGAGCCTATAGTTTATCCCTGTTGTGAGATTTCATCGTTAGTTGCTGTTCTTGTTTGACAATGCAAATAGATAACAACACGGAGTTTTGTACCTCAGCTTCTATCAATGGTATGTTTGTTTCGAATCGTGGGGGCGAATACAGCTCTCTTCGATGTATCATCTAGTAGTCTTTACTTCTTTCTTATATCCTGATTTCATTTCGTCGTTGACATAATTGAGTAATAGAAATAAAACATGCCATACCTCTTGGAAATTGAATGGCAAACTCTAGATATCTGAGATTAATATTAGTCAACGGTCTTCTGCTAATCTAATTGCATGAGACCTGAAGAATCATTTATGATATGTGAACGTTGAACGAAATTCATGTAGTGTAGTCAGTCCATTGTTTTTGTTCAAGAAGCATAATCATTGAGATAGTTGAGGACATACTAAACTTCGTGCAAGAGATCTATTCGTATCAGTTTGTTTTCAGATTCATTCATTTCAAAATGGATAGAAAACTAATTGTTGAATTGAGAACGAAAATATGAAATAGAACGAGTGCTTAATCAATTTCAGAGAATATCGTATGATTGGCTAGTTGGAAGAACATTTGTCGTTCAACTGATTCTTAATGTTCCACTAAGTAAGGTCTATGATGCAAGGATTTGGCTTGGTCGTACAGATAAGTATTGTGGTAATTATTATTTTCAAATTATATATTCTAATGATCTTATTTGAAGCCTCTGAATTTGATATCTATGGCCAGTTTTATATTTTTTCTATTCAAATTCTACAAAGCTCATGAGTCCTTCAATCCGTATACTGCTATGACTGCTTATCGTGCGTATTGCCATGTGATGTCATCCATTCTAACCATTTGTGTGTTTCTTCTTGGTGATACAGCGCTTGAGATGATGTAAGATGCTACCTTATTTTTCGTGTTTTGATAAGATTTCAATTCTCTAGAGCTATATCATATCTACTGCTTGATTGCTTTCCTATTTATTTCTTACTTGTTGAGTTGGTGATGGCAGTCAACCGATTTATAGCTGTCATGCACTATGCTTATTATGATAGGATATTCACTGAGAACGTTTGCAAGGTATTCAAACGGAAATGAATTGGAATGAGCTCAAATGTTTTACTTTAAGATCTTAACGGTTGCTGCACTCGCCACATCAATTTCATTCACGTCTTTCATGAAATTAAGTAAGAAGTTCATTCTGATACAGTCCTCAGTCTAAGTTTCAGACACCATATTCACGTTGAAAGAGAGAGATACACAAACTCTCACAACTATTATGTTTTTGTGTGCTTGTGGTTTCATTATCAATGCCATCACATTGAATAGTATTTTGAGGTACAGTTAGAGACCGGACGTTGGTGATAGGATATCCATCATTCTCCCTTTATAGGTCATATGTCCAAAAGAACGATAGAAACTCAAGAAGGATATCAAAATCAAAAAAGAGTTTTGTGTTTTCTTCTTCCCAACTCTTTGTTTCCTGTGCTCTATTCATCCATGTTCTCTTTCTTGATGAAGATCAGTTCGAAGGACCACTCGAGTTGCTCATTCTCATTGCCGGAAACACCCTTAAAGATTTTATTGAAAGGTTTAGATATCATTGAACACACGTTTATTGTTCTCAATTTTTAGTATATTTACACTATATTTCTTTCGTCATTTCGTATTCCGGAAGAAACTGATACAACCGATCGTCGTATCTGCAACTGTACGTTGATCCTGATGGTTCTATGAGGACCTCTCATATACTTAGGCAACTTTCATAAAGCTGATCATGAAATGCGAAGAGGTACGAGTCTGTCGTATAGATATGTGTTAATGATCCGTTTTCAGAGAAATATAGGATTCGAAGCTCGTATCGTTGGAGATCTCTACAACCATACTCCAACTCATGCCGGAAAAAGGAAACTTTTCGTTGTTTCGATAGAGAGCATTCCAGTTGCTACCTCAAATCGTTTGCCTGACAGACTTTCTATTATTACATGTATCTTTTGGATGAAAATAAAAAATAAAAATGAAAATGGATTAGCATCAAAACTAAATACACCATTATCTCGGAAGACGACTGTTGATATCCTTCTGAAAGCTAAAGCAATTCAATTGTAACTCATAGATCTCAGATTCTTTCAAATGGTTTTCATATACAACAGTGAACGAGACGAGATTCAATCATCCGATGATTGCAGGCAAGTCATTACCTCACAATCACAATCATCTGAACTTAGTGAGATACGGTAATTGCACAAATCTTTTGTTTACAACTTTCATGTTTTCACAAATAGTTTGTTTATGCAAATATCAAATTTATTCTTTGTTTTTCATGATTTATCTTAGTTGCTTCTTCAATCGTTTTTCTTGAGTCAGGAAACGACGACGACCACCTTCTCATAGGATGTTTGAGATTGAAAATGGTAAGTGTTATTGGGTACTTCACTCGATTGTGTGAGATCAATAGAGATAACTGATCGATAAAATTCAGCTGTTTTCATAGATTTTAACACAATTCTGTTTTCATTTGATTATTAATTAATTTCACCTGAATGAACAGTACACCTTCGACGTAGTTTGGACTCTGACAGTTAGAACACTCGCACTACTCTGTTTGGGGCTTGTCTGCTTACGTATGGCTACTTGTAATGAGGGAGTAAGCTTCAAATATAATTTATAACTTTTATTATTCACAGAGTAAACAATTATATTTTACAGTTTCATTTTATAAAAATGATGAGAGCTCCAACTAGAGCAGAGGGTTCTGTTTTATAAATTCGGGGTCGGCAGCAACAACTTTCGTTATGAGAAACGAATGCAAGTTAAAAGCAATGGTGATGACCTCATCCGACTCGATTTCCTTAAAATAGCTCTTATTTGAAATCTTTTTCTCTAAATTACCTTCGTTTCAAGCTTATCCTGCGTCAGACATCTTTCATCTTTGAAAACAAGTTGAACATGAACTTTACCATCATCACTTGATGAATGCAGGTCTCGGAATCTGTACTGCCACACATAGCTCTAGAAACACAATATAACTCTTGAAGTATCAGAAGAAATCAAATGTATAAACCTTTGTAGGAATATCGTATACACTTATCCCCTGTTTGATATCAAACACTAATCCACAGGGTCTACCATCGAAACTGCAAGCGAATGTGCGTGTCTGAGAATGAATGTATGATGGTATTGTAGTAGATACGAATACCTGCATTGATGTTACTGTGTTATAAACACATTTATAATATGTGAACTCGAATTGTTCCAGAATCTGTGTTGAATCAAAGGAAAGATAGTGCTTTAATCCACTAAGCAATGATGTTTCAATATAGCAGCAGCTCTCTCTCTTATCCAACCGACGAGAGTCATCAGGAACCTTCAATCAAACTTTATTGATGTCAATGGAATGTTATAACATACCATACGCAGAGCTATGTCATAACATTTATATAAATATATACATTTGTTTAAATCTTCCGAACTCAACTGAAATGGAATGTCATCATGATGGAGTGAGGACAGATGGGCACGCTAGTGTTGAAGAAAAATACTTGAAAACTTACTGGAGGGCTTTCGAAAAAGCATACATCTCCTCCTTTTAATATCAAGAAACGGGGCTCCCATTTGAGTTTTGGATCCTCTGGTAATCCCTCTCCCATATGCTCATTCACCCATCCAATAAATGTAATCTGATATTTGAAGTGAAAGAGACGATTGGAATCATTATACCTGCTCACTCTGATGTAAGTATTTGTTGCTCATTTTGATGCTTTTCTGATTCAACGCCTGAATGACACAGTTTTGAGATTGTTTGAACTAGTTTTTCTACATTTATGTGGTTGTATATGTGACCGAGCCATTGGTCTAAGGCTCTAACATCTTCGCAATGAATTATCCCCGAAGATGTGCCATCAACAGCTCGAACTTCGAATGCATTTGGTCTGAAAAATACTCATGAACATGTAAATGAAGAGTATTGAGGATAGCCAGACCTCATATTATCCGTTCCCCACAAATAACGGGTTACGTATGCCATTGGTAATGGAATAGTCGTTACCGTTTTCCACTTTTCATCTTTTCCATCTATTTTTTCACCATCGTACAAACCCAGATCTGATTGAGCTTTCATAGCAGACTGTAACGATAGATGTTCATATGAAATCACAGTTTACCCACCTTCCAAGTGTTAGGTTCATATAGTTTATCCAAAGCACTTCCACTTCGTCCAGGCTGAAGAGATGTTGCTGGCCTATTAATATCAATGTTTTTGAATCTTGGCAGCTAGTGTTTTACATACTTCAAATATGGAGTGATGTTAGTGTAATGTCTGACACCAATCTTCACTTCATCGCCTTCAGCTTTGAGCATTTCGACCACCTTAACAGCGATTATTGTTCTCAAACTTTTTTTTAAATGCTAACTTCATCATGAGACTTTCCTTCAACTGATATATCATTGACTTCTACTATAGCATCTCCAACGTACAACTGACCGCACTGATCCGCTTCAAAACAACCTCATTTATGAAATTTGAGAAAAATGTAGTTCATACCCGGCATTCCAGGAAAAACTTTGCTTATAACGATTGGCAAATTTTGAGCGTTTTCCGTTCCTCCCTGAAAATACCGTTCAACTGATTGAATGTTAGAAATGGCAATGTTACTTTGATTGATAAACCCAATCCTCCACCTCTTCTTTTGATTGATACGATTCGTGTAGCATTCTCATCTGGAGTATCTGTTTCAGTTGGCTCTGCTGTAGAAGACGTTCCATCACTAGGCAGCTGAACAGCCAATTGATCTGAGAATGTTGATGATGGTCACACAATTTAACAATCAATGAACAAAAAACCTTTAGATAACAACAGCCTAGAGGGTCTTCCTCTTCCATTTCCATCGCTAACTAGGACAAGCCCATGATGGACCTTTTGAATTGAAAAAAATGAAAAAATAAGATTGAAAGCTAAACTTACAACATCCAAATTTCTATTTTTAGTTTTCATATTCTATTATTTAGAATGAATAGAAGTCGATCTGAGAAGCTCTTTAAAACCAATGCACCAGCTATTACACTCATCGCTGAGATGAAACTTTTAGAAGAGATTCTAAGAGAAAAGGATAATTACAGACAAACAACATGTCTTATCCAATCTCTGTTCCCAACCCCTGTTTTTTCACGAAAATCCATCTCTCTATGCAAATGAGTCAGTTTGAATGAATGTTAATGTCCCTTGCCATATATGGAAGAACGATCGTACCTAGGTGACTAAGTCACTTCTCCACCCCTCATGAACTCCCTATATTTAAGTAGAAAACATGACATGGAATGTTATTTTTTAATTTCTTCATGGAATCCTTTATTTTCTGTTCCAATAATGTTTGTATTCAGTACATTCATATGTTTGTTCAGATTGATCGATAACGAAGAGAATAAATAATAATAAAGTATGGTCTGCTTTTTTATTTCGAAAGAAATGTCTTTTATGGGAAATCGCATATGAACGAATAGTCAGTCAGGAGCATTAGCGTCCTTTTTCTATGAAATGTGAAAAGCATGCTTCCCCCCCCCCCCCCCCCCCTTGGCCTTCTCTCCCTATCTCCCCGCGTTGTTTTCAACCATTTCGCCACATTTTTCATACTGAAATCTAAATTTGCATTTATGAGCTTTCAATCGAAGCGGAGCCTATTAATTGGCTGATATTTTATTATTTCGTATTAGTCATGAAAACATGCGCCCCAACTTACTCATAACAAACTCATTCTTTCGTCTTCCACTACACCCCTTAAGTCTTTTAATCCTGGTAGCAACGTTTCCTTTGTAGGTTCCTCCTCTTTTCTCGACTTCCTAGTTCATCCCAGTTTCTAGAAAAAGAAAAAGAAAATCTATAGCTTTCTAGCTACTACCAGGGCCCGCGAGGCTTGTGCATATTCCGAGATATTGCCACAAAATAGCAGAGCGCCTTCCCATGATGCTGTGCCGTATCGATCTTCGTGTCCATATTTGCCATGTCGACCATGGCCTCAGCCATTTCAAACTCTTTTAGTCTCCTATTCATGACTACCTTTTTGAAGCTCACAATATTTATAAAAATTCGTTGATAATTCATTCTTATTAAAAAAGAAAATGTACTGATTTTAGATACTGTAGCCTGTTGAATATTCCTTGCGTACAAAAGCCTTTCTATTTTTAGCTTTCGCTCTCATATTGCTCATCCTGTTCTCCAAAATCTTTAATACCGAAAAAAGTGGTTTGCAGCCTCGTTCTTGTTCTTCATTGTCGATTCCATGCCTCATTTGTACTATTTTTATCATTTGTAGGGCTTGGATTGGATGTGATAAAGCCTAACATCAAAAAAGCGTTATGTCGTTGAAGCAGATTGTAGGACACAGTAAGTCATTCGTTTCTATTTACTTCCAAGCGTCTCCTTAATTTGCTTCATTCTTTGTTCTTGCAAGTTTGAGCGCTGCTGACTTCATTTTCTCGTCTATATTCGACAGCATCTCAGCTCAACACTGAAACCAATAAAACGAATAGACAGCTAGCTACTCATATATTCGAATATTCTAATTTTTAAGCTCATTTGTTACAGAACTTTTGAACGATGTCATTCGCCCTCTTAAGAAAGCTGAAGGCCAAGGAGGTTGGAATGTACTCATTGTTGACCGATTGGCCATGCGGATGATGTCCGCTTGCTGTAAAATGCATGATATTATGGAAGGTACATCAGAACTAACCTTGTTATCATCATTATGTTGTTCTCTTTGAAGAAGGAGTCACGATTGTCGAAGATCTCCAGAAGAGACGCGAACCATTACCAAGTCTGGATGCCATTTACATTCTTGCTCCCACGAAATCTTCGGTAGATCACATCTTCTCAAAACAAATATTAATCTTATCTCTCTCCCTCTAGATTGATGCTTTAATTCAAGACTATACTGTACGCAACCAGTACCGTCATGCACATGTGTTTTTCACCGAGGCTTGTCCTGACCAATTAATGACTCAATTAGGAAAAAGTGCTGCAGCACGGTAGTTTCTTTATCAGCTGCATAATTCATTGTTTTTCATTTCAGATTCATTAAAACTTTGAAAGAGATAAACGTAGCATTCACTCCTTATGAGAGTCAAGTATACACTCTAGACTCTCCTGATACTTTCTTCCTGTATTATAACGCCCAAAAGCAAGGTGGATTGACTGTGAATCTAGAACGAATCGCTGAGCAAATTGCTACAGTCTGTGCTACTCTTGGTGAATATCCGTCCATCAGGTGAGTATAATAATGTTTTTTGTTTTACTTGAATGTTTTCTTCGTCAGATATCGCTATGATTTCGAAAGAAATGTAGAGCTCGGTCACTTGGTTGAGCAAAAGCTTGATTCTTACAAAGCTGATGATCCAAGTATGGGAGAAGGAGCTGAGAAAGCTCGCAGTCAGCTAATCATTATCGGTATACTTGTTTTTTTTGTGTCAATCTTATTTGTGTTTGTTAGATCGTGGTTTTGATGCTGTTACTCCTTTACTTCATGAACTTACATTCCAAGCTATGTGCTATGATTTGTTAGGAATTGAAAATGATGTTTATCGCTATGAAACTGGAGGTAACGATTCAACTGAGAAAGAGGTTAGACTTGCTATTTATCAAACTTCTTATGCGTTATTCTATCAGGTTCTTCTGGATGAGAATGATGACCTGTGGGTTGAGAACCGTCACAAACACATTGCTGTAGTATCACAAGATGTAAGCTTTTCAGTAAAAAGTTTCTATTGACTTCTGCTTGTTATAGGTAACTAAAGGCTTGAAGAAGTTCAGTGACTCTAAAGTCGGACTGAAAGCTGACGCTAAATCCATCAAAGATTTGTCTATGATGATCAAAAAGATGCCTCAATATCAGAAAGAGTTGAACAAATTCAGGTATTGATAGTTGACATAGACACAGTTTCAAATGAAATAACTTCAGTACTCACTTCCACTTGGCAGAGGAATGTATGAAGCAGTATCAAAATGGAATCGACAAGCTTTGCAAAGTCGAACAGGTGAGCTGTTCCTAGAGTATTCTCTTGAATTATAATGTTCTTCAAGGATCTTGCTACTCAACTTGATGTAGAAGGAGAACGAGTGAAGGATGCCATGAAGCTCATGGTTCCTCTTCTCATTGATCCTGCCGTTCGTACCGAGGACAGACTTCGTCTTATTATTTTGTACATTTTGAGCAAGAATGGTTTGTTGAAGTTTCTATAGTATGTCAGTATCATTGTTTTCAAGGAATCACGGATGAAAACCTGAACAAGTTGATGCAACATGCAAATATCTCTATGGCTGATAAAGACACAATAACAAATGCTGGGCTTCTCGGTTTGAACATCACCACTGACGTAAGCTTCTTTTGTTTTGCGTTTGAATCAATTCAACTTCTAGCAAGGAAAAAAGAAAGTGTGGACTCCCACTAGAAAAGAAAGACCACACGAACAAGTATATCAATCTTCTCGATGGGTACCTCTTCTGAAAGACATAATGGAAGATGCCATTGACGATAAGCTTGATACTAAGCATTTCCCATTCCTCGCTGGAAGACAAGTCAATCAGCAATATCGGCAAGGGTAAACCAAACCTCTCAATGTTTTTTTGGAATATTCTATCTTTTAAGAGTTCCAAGTTCTGCTCGCTACGGACAATGGCATAAGGAGCGTGGACAACAATCTTCTCATCGAAGTGGACCTCGCCTTATTATCTACGTCGTGGGCGGTTTAACTTATTCAGAAATGAGAACTGCATTCGAAGTGACGCAAGCTAAAAAGCCATGGGAAGTTATAATTGGTAAGTGGTGTTTCCACGAATACTGACTATGCAACCTTTCTTTCAGGATCTGATCAAATCATTACTCCTGACAAATTTTTAACCAATCTTCGGGATTTGAACAAACCGAAGGAACAATGACTAGGGGACGGAGCATGGAAAACTACCACAGTAGATGAAACTGCCTGATTTTCACTAGAAGCTGCACAAATGCTTTTCGAGTAGAAATGGTTTTCCTTGTTCCACATAAGTTCCTAATAATCTTTCTTTTCGCTTGAACGTTCTAAGATATTTGTCGCTACTTGTATCAAGCAACCTTCCAAATAATTTATTGTAGATTAGTAATATTGAAGTGTTTAAGCTTGAAATTTTTATGTAGATAGTGTATTCTAACATTCCGCTTCATAGTCTGACAGCATGTGCATGCTTATGTGTCTAGTAGTCTATTCTATTCATATTTCAAATATTGTAAATGTGCTATATTGACCATAATAAAGCTTTCTAACTTAAACACATTCCTAAACCTATGCTACAAGAATTATGAAACACGGGGAATAGATCAATACGTGAAACAACGCGTGACTCCTTATGATAAGATGGTTCATTTGCATTCCGTCGTACGTAGAGAACGGTTGCATACGCTGTTTACAAACATCGGTGAAACCTCGGCGACAGACGACCGCTGCACACTCACACACGTCGCGGCGTTTTGCGTCCCGCCGCGACGCGCCTGGTCTTCTTTCCTATGTTACCGTACTCTACCCTTTTTATTTATTAACATTCAGAAACCGAGGATACTTGTCTTTTTTAAATTTCTTTAGAATTTAGTGAATTTTACCTAATGTTTAGCCTATAATTTTGTATAATGTGAATATTTCATTGATTGTGTCGGTTGTCTTTCGTTCATTGATGTAATTTTGGATTTTTTTTAATTCCTTAGCTTTAGGGGAAAACATGACCAAGGTCAAGGCTAGAGATCTTCGTGGAAAGAAGAAGGAAGAGCTCGAGAAGGAGCTTGAAACTCAGAAGACTGAGCTCTCATCCCTTAGGGTTAGTTTTTTAAATGAATTTTCGCTCGTAACCTCTATTTTTCCCATGTAAATTGTTACTTTCTATGTGGTTATTCGTAGAGGGATAGCGATTCTTTTTTCCTAAAGTTTTCTAACATTTATGTTTGATAACGCTGTGATTAATGTTACAATTGTAGGTATCCAAAGTCACTGGAGGAGCCGCTTCTAAGCTCTCCAAGATCCGTGTTGTTCGCAAGAACATCGCTCGTATCCTCACCGTTATCAACCAAAGCCAAAAGCAAGAACTCAGAAAATTCTTTGCTGTAAGTCATTTAGTTTCATTTATGGTTTAATATTTAATTGATGTACAGGACAAGAAGTTCAAGCCAATCGATCTTCGCCAAAAGAAGACTCGCGCCATCAGAAGACGCTTGACCAAGCACGAAGCCAGCCTCAAGTCTGCTAAGCAGCTTGCCAAGCAAAGAAAATTCCCACAAAGAAAGTTCGCTGTTAAGGCATAAGTTGTTGTTGTTTTTGTTTCGAATGAAACATTGCATATAATATTTCGTTTTTATTGCTTTCACATAGTAATTACATATAGTTAGAACGGCATATTTATTCCATAAGTTCAAAACAAAGAACAGATACTTTTTCATTACTGAAAACACTTTACTGTACAAAACATTCTACGTTTTTTTGTGAAGAATGGGCTACAGAATCTATCGGTGGTCAGGCAGGATCTATTCTTCTTCTTCTTCTTCCTGAAAGAATAAGAGTTAGATCAACGCTATCTTGCTGTGAGTCTCACCTCTTCGTATTCCTCTTCATCTTCCTCTTCCTCTTCCTCCTCTTCTTCCTCTTCCTCTTCTTCTTCAGCTTGTGGTTCTGGTTCTGGGGCAGTCTCTTCCTCCTGTTAGGTTGAGATGATTATTGTGCGATTTATGACTTGAATATACCTTCTCTTCCTCTTCCTCTTCCTCTTCTTGCTCCTCTTCAACAGGCTCGCTGGCTTTGACGGATTGGGTGTCTACTTCAGATTGTCGGGAAGACTGTAAGAGCTATGATATGTGAAGTTGTCAGGAATCGAGGTTTAAGTTGTTGTTACAAATTTGGAGATAACCTACCTCTCTCTCTTCGAACTTCTTCTTGTAGTGTCCGAATGGATCAGCTGAAGATGCGCTACCGGGTGGCTTAGTCTCTTCCCATTCCTTAAGAGCAGCTTCATAATCTTCAACCCTATAAAGGCATATTTATGTAATTGTTTGTTTATTTTTGTTGAAACTGATTTTTGATGGTATTTTAAAAATTGGAATGCGACCGCTCTGAGCGCTTGTTATTTGTTGAATGCTTTACTTCGAATGATTTTTTTCCGTGACGTCACGGTTTTATGCAAATTTCCAAAAATGAAAAAGGAACGTGATGTTTTCATCTTTGTCTTTCACACTGATATGCTGTCCGAAGAAACATTAAGTTCTCATCAGCAGTTTCGAAAAAAATTCAATTTTTTCCTATGTGTGTATTATGTGTGCATAAGTGGAGTGGATAGTCTGGTTGAAGTTTTTAGTGGGTGTTTATCTTATCCGTTGTCTATCTCTTCCACCGTCTTTCTCTTTTCACTTTATGCAATCAAAAGCCTCCTCATTTTCGCAACTCTTTCGCTGCGATTCCTTCTGAAAAAAGTTCCACGCGAACTTTTGAAGTTCTCTATACTTGAGTATGTGCAGTGAGGTTTTCGGCATAATTGTGCGCAAAATCCGTTAGCTACTTGACTGTTAATTTCTTACCATTCTTTCTTCCATCCACTTCGTTGAATGGTGTTTCTTGGAGTTCCGAATCCGGTCATTCCTCTCTTAAAAGGGCATATACAACTGTTCATCGATTATATCAATTTACCTGAGAAGCAAGCTTGTTAGTTCCTGATTGAAGTGGGACAATTCCTTCGGACTTTTGCTTTAACTCTTCATCAATATCCTTGCCTCCCTACAAAGATTTGTCATACAAGAGTTGAGAGTTCACAATACTTACAACTGTGTGTGGTAAAACATCACGGACTTTCATGAATCCTCCGCTTCCAGCTTGAGTGGCGAATTTGTTCTGTCCGGAATACCATGGAGTGTATTCAGTACCACGTCTCATTTGTTCTTCACTGCAAAGTTATTCAGTTTCATAAGTCAAACATTATAAGTTCTTACGTCATTTCTAATCCTTCGATTTTTTGAGTAGCTTGGCGAACAGCTCCGATACCTGGTGGAGCGCTCATTCCGATTTGGGATGCGAAAATGTTAGTTCCTTAAGCACAAAACGATGAGTCTTTCATGACATGCTAGTTTGTTACCATTTTGGAAACAGAGAATTCCATGGGTACGACGGTCATGAGGCATACGTCCTCTGACATTGGCAACCTGGTTTCTGTGAGCTCCCATAGACACTTCTCCGGCTTGGGTGGCAAGTCCGTAATCTCCAGCTTGTTTTGGGATGATTTTTTCACCTTCCTTATCGAGGATGGTTTCCCATTCTTTCTTGTATTGTACTTTGGGGACCTATTTATAATTGTATGATAACAGTACACTTCACAAATTGCTTACTTGAGTTCTTGATGATCCAATGGGGGTTTCTCCTTTTTGGGAGGCATATTGGTTGGTACCGCACTGAACACGGAGAACCTTCTCAGATTCTCGGTTTGGCTCAATGTATCTACAGACAGAGCAAAACAATATTAGTTTATCGAAGTGTAATTTTTACCCCAATTGCTTATCCTTGGTGATATTCCATCTTGGCATACCAGGTGCTGTCATTCCTCTTTGGGAGTCGAACTTGTTGGTAGCAGATTGCATGGACAAAAAGGTGTGTCCACCCTTGAGTTGTTCCAAGGTCCATCTCTTACGTTGGCGTTGAGTATCTTGAGAATAATCCTGCAACGATAACGGGGTTTTCAAACGAAATTCATGCATACAAAGTTTTCAAGCATAAATCATGCACATGGCTGACACTCAATTAAAGAAGCGAAACAAAACTTACGTCTTCACCCATGTTGCTAGCTGTTGCTCTTGGTCGGCTCTGCGATTCGACTGAATCCTTCACGTAGAGGCGTTGAAAAGATGGGAGGTGAATCCAGTTGAGAGCTTCTGTACACAATAAAAGAAGGCTTTGCTCTTTATCTATCAGACGACGAGAAGACAAAAAGGATTGACATACAGAAAATCGGATAGATTCAAACAAACTTCATGTAAACTAGAGAATGAGAGAAATATAGGAAAGAGAGGGATAGGAAGAAAAGATGAATATAGAGGGTAATGAACTAGCACTCCCACACGGTTATACCTTTTTTTGCCGCCCACGCATTTTGTGGAAAAAAAACAAAACTAAAACATAATTATCAAAGCATGAAGTAATGGAATGATAATTCAAAGACCATAGAGAAGACAACAATGTTTTTACTTGTTCGAATGAATGTCAACAATCAGTTTGAGTGTCTTGCTACAATTCTTCAGCACGCAGTAGTTTCAACTTCACGTTTTCCGATTAATTTTTGAAAGTTGAATGTGATGAACCATGATCCGGGAAATGATGTTTATTTTTGTGAAAAAGTCACAAGTTAGAATTTTCCTTGTGTTTGTTTGATTATCTACCGTTGATGTCATCTGGTGAACACCAATTTTTTGACAGTTGAGACGTTTTTCAGTTACCAACACGAGCGTTGAGATGAATAATAGGTAAATAGCTTTCATATATTCCATCTTTTCGATCTTAAATCTCTTTCTTTCAAATGTGTCTCTAACTGTGTTACTTTGAATTTCGATCTGCTGACTGCTCTCAATGAGTCCATTTCCTCATACATGTTAATCTTCTATTCTCGAAATAACTACTAAAGAAATTTCAAGAATCAAGATGTATTAACCGGATTATGAGAGCTATTTGGTGTTGTATTCAATGAGTCAACAAATGCTTCTCTCTTAATCTTGCCAGCCTTCGCTGGCATAGGGACGTTACTGTGGAGTGCTCGGCCGTTTATTAACTGGCACAAGCAGCAGTCTGATTTCTACGCTAAGTCTAGCAGATTCATCGTAAAATAACAGATAAGATGGAGAAGATGATGAACGTGAAACGGCAGAGAAGATATGAAGAAAGCGGAAATTTCCCAAATAACGCTTGACGGCATCCACCATCCTCAGCTTCATGCTCATGCCGATGATAAATGATCAGAGGGTAAGAAAGCCGAGGATGCGCGAGAGAGATATACAAAAGACCGGATATTGCAGAAAGTGTAATACAAATAAGTTGTCTTCACGTCGTTGTCTTCGTCATAGTTATTCATTTTTACTATCTCTACTCTATGTATTCATGCGAAATTTCTAGTGATATGGGGAAATAATCACGGAATATTTCGACATTCAGCTGCTTTTCTTTTTTTTTTTTTTCGCGAAGTTTGATGTTCCCTACGACCTGTAGTTGTCATCATATGCAAGTCTTTCCTTGAATAGCAATGAATCATACACCCATCCTCATTGGTCCATTTGTACAACACACACATAGAGAGAGAGCGAGCGAATAGGAGAGTAACCTTTGTTAGGAAGCCCATCGTTTCGCTTAACCACTATCTCAACCGATTTATCTAAGAAAGTCTCTGTAGAGTGATGATAGTTGTGTATCTAGCTTGCTTGCAGACGTTTATATAGTTTGAGTTTTCAGCCATAATTTCTTTGCAGCTTCAAATCTTAACATTTTTATTTTCCGTTCCACCCCGCTGAGAGAAGCTTGTCGCTCCCGGTTTTTCTGGCATATGAACTTCACTTCACAAGTACATTAAAAGATCCATTTTTAGCAAGATACATATAAACTTCAGTTACATCTTGCAAATTCTCGTAAGAGTGACTGAACAAGTCAGTTCTTGTGTCCTGACGAAAATCATTTAGTTGTTTCATCATATACCCTTTCTCCCCCCACCCCTCAAAGCAGTTTCGCGCAGTTTACGTGAGTCAGAGACGATAAGACGAGATCACCTACACTCCAGTTCCTTTTACTTCGTACCTTGATGATTGACTGGAGTATAGTATACGAACACGAACATATTCCCTTTTATGGATCAAAACCGACGCCTTAAGCGTTCACATTGTATTGCTGCCATGCACAACAGTACACCTTGTCAAGCTCACTGACTAACCTCCGCATGCGAATAATTCATCAAAAATCTCAAATGAATAACCTTCGCGAGCGACATGTAATATGCCGCAGGCGATACGAAGTTGCTGTTTTTTTTGTTGAATGTTTTTCATTGTTATTTTGCCTTTAATTAGATACAAACATTGAAAAAGAATGATGATTAAGAACGAGAATTTTTTTAATAATTTGTTGGGCGAAATAGATGACAGTAAGACTATAACGTTCCTATTTAAGCTTTAATGAACAAAACGGCACGAGTTTCTTACCCTTTTTATGAACAAAAAGCAATGTCCTTTGGTACTTAGTGAAAGAATGGTGACATCCTAAAAACACCTAACGAACTCTTAACTCAAGAAATGAGTTGAGATATGAGTGAAACATGGCTGAATGCACTTCTAGCTGTCGTCTATATATGAATATGACGACAATGAATTGGTAGTTGAGGTTGTGAGGAAATGAGCTGAACCCTTACACATCGTTTGCAGAGTTGTAGATGTAAGAGAAAACAGCCGAACACGAAAAAAACAATAAAGATCACGTTGTACTCCGCAAAAATGAGAATATTTTAACTTTTCATACGCAGAACACACATCCACACATACACACACACACACACACACATATACACACACACACAATGTAAAACAGATCAAACATTCTCCTCAGAAAGTTATGATGTGAGAAATGGGGTCCTTCGTTGCAAATATGTTTGTCCGGGAAAAAAACAAGGAAACATTGTCCTTTAAAGGTATGAGAAAGCTGTCCTCAAGTGATGTTTTGTGTTATTGTGTGTGGGCAGCTTGTATTGTCTGCATTGATGTTCAGACAACGGTCAGAATTTTATATTATTTTCGTTGCTCATTTAAGGAAAGATCTTTTTATATCTTTTAACAGCATTTTACTTCTTGGAAGCATCATTTATGTTTATTATGGTAGATAGGATGTTTGACTCCCCCACACACTCACTCACCTCTCTCTGATTGATCGAATAGACTTGTCAGCTCTGGCTCTTCGACCCGCATTCGGATAGTTCTCATTCACGTAACGAAAAAAAAAATATAAACATATTTAATGAGAAATAAAATTTATTTTAAAACTCTACAGAGGACTTGTTAACATTTCGTATCAACAATGCTATAAAAGGATGAGAACTGTTGACAAAATGGTCGAAAGAAAACTAATACCGGGAAACTTGTGTGACTCGTGTCATGAAGAGGATACACAAAATTTGTATAAATAGTTATAATTATATATGTATTAACAGGTTTATAGCTTAAAATTTGTTCACAATGAAGTGGTTGAGATCATAGAACGGCTAGTATTGGGACGTTTTTTGACTTCAAATTGTAGTCTGAGAGACAAAAAAATTAATATTTAACACGTTTTCATCATAATTATCGTTGAAATGAGTCGATTTCAATATAATTTAAACTGAGAATTGGACTGGAGTTTGCTGACTTAATGTATTGGCTAATATGCTTTTGTTAAGATCAGGAACTTGATGTACAGGGCTGACGTTTTGGAGTGAGGCGTGTTTGGGACTGTTTGAAAATCGGCCGTTGGGATTCATGAGGAGTTGTGCCAAGGCCATGAAACCATCTTGACTGGTAGTGGGGAAGAGGCTGTTCATTCGCAGAGCATCCATGGTGGGCAGTGTTGGAGCACTAAAAATCAAAATTATGAGATATTTCGAATATTCTCAATGATTACAAACCTCATAGGGATCTGCATAGCAGATGGCTGGATAGGCGTTGGTCGGAAAGCTGGCAAAATTAAGCTTTCAATCGGTACAGAAGTGTTTGCAGCTGAACATGGAGCATATTCTGAGGTAGTCGGAGCAACGGTGGTTGCAGGGATTGAGGAAGCAGAAATACTGGCTACAGGAGAAGTAACTGAGGGTGAAGAAGATGGAACGGAATTCACTGAAAAGGAAAGCATATAGAAATGGGTTTGTTGATGTGGATGTCTTACATTGAGCTTCGAGTAATTCGTTTCTTCTCTTCAATTCAGCCATACCGTTTTCGCTTTCGTTGATTTTGTTCTTCATGAGTCCAATATATTCAATGGCTCTTTTGAGGATTAAAGCACGGGATGACTGTAAATATAAAATTTGAAAGAAGCCCTTCAAGTATTATAAGGTACCTTTTCTCCTTCCAAAATTGGAATTGCATTCTTTAAAGCCATAAAGTGATCTTTGATATGATCTCTTCGTCTTCTTTCTAATTCGTTATGATGTGCACGTCGATCATCATTGAGGGAAGGCGAGTGTGATTTTGGACTAGAAACATCATCCTGAAAAGCTCATATAAAGTTATGATCTTAGCCAATTCATTTCTAATTTTAAATGATCATACATTACTAAAATACAAATGACATCATGATGACAAAGTTTTAGGATGACTCGATTCTTTCATGAATTTCCATAATCGCTCTGAGAGCGATGGGACGGAACAGAATTGAGAAAGTATGTGTAGTGGGTGAGAGCAGGAAAAAAAAAGAATTTGCAGAAAAATAAAGCTGAAGGTGTGAAAAAATCAAAAATTGAAAAGATTATGGATATAAGAGATGAGAGATGAGAGGTGTGGGAAGAGGAAGAAGGAAAAGCTGCTTCAGTAAAGGCAACCACCACCACATGGTTTTCACAGAAGATTTGTAGTCGTTTTCACCAAAAGGTTGTAAGAACTTTCTGGTGTTTGAAAGGATTTTCAGTAATCCATCATTTGAATAAAGTTATGAATGGTGGAGATAATCTATGCGGATAAATGTTTGTTTTCAAGGAAAGATAGGAGGCAAATACGATAGATAAAGAGAAAGAAAAAAGAGAAAAAATGGTTCTCCTCACGTTTTTCTTGTCAAACGTTTGATAAGGAAAGATCATCTTTCGAATTGAAAAACATTTTTTTCTTCATTCTCTCTCTCTCTACACTTCGCTTCTCCCAATCAGTATTGGCTACACACACACATACCCACACTACATTGAATGTGAGTGTTCCGATAAAAACGAAGAGGAAATGGTTTTAAAATTCCAATTATAAACATTTAAGAGTTTGTAAAAGAAAAGCTGATTGGAACCATTCAGCTTCACACATCCGGACTCTTGGAGTGATTAAATCTCCAATTCTGATCCGGATAATCCTCAACTACCAGGTGATAAGGATTGCGGGTGGATGATGTGATTTAGAAGTGTTCAAACAATTTTTTTTAATATCATAGAAAGCCATATAAGGAGCAAAGCAAAATTATATGGAAAAATATGTCTTTTTTAATTAATTTTTTGAGCTATCCGCCCGATTTTACTTTTTTGGTCAGAATATCGCGCTTTGTCTATACTCACCTCACTCGACTCCGAATGCTGACGTTTTCTTCCCATTTTGGGTATACCAGATTTGCTGAACACAGATTCATCAAGCATCATCGTCATTTTTTTTGGAAATTGAGAGCTAATTCCTGGAAAAAAAGAAGAAATTAGAAGAAAAAATGTTTTATGAAACACGTGAAAAACACGAGACAGCATCAGAAAGGCCAAAAATTATCGAATCATGAATAAACCGACGAGGTGAAGAGAAAAAAACGACATAGAGGGAGGAAATCGGGCAATTGTCTGAGAGGATGAGAGAAATTAGAGAAATGATGATAAAATGGGAAAAAAAAATTGATGATGGAATGTTAAGATCAGAAGGAAATGAGAACATAACCAAATTTGGGAAAGTCAGAGAGACAAGACAAATCTACAAGAAATCATAGAAAGAAAGCGATCATTGGTACCAAGAATTATTCAAAGGTTGAGAAATACATCGAGAGTAGAGAAGATGACGAATGAAAAGAAAAATTAAAAATATAATAGGCAGCTGAAACGGTGGGTAGCACTGGGTACATGATCTCATGTTCTCGGTTGGGGGTGTGGGTGGCGGGTGACTGCATGGCTGGTCTGTCTCTACAACACCACTTCCTTACAAGTGATTCATGATAAGGTCATACACCTCATTATCTGTTAAAACAGCGAGACGAGCACGCAAGGCCTTCAGGCCATGAACAACCGACCCGACTGAATGTGCCGTCTGTCGGTCCGCCGCGATGGGGATGCACCCCCAACGAGAACAGCAGGAAAGGGGCGTGTCTGTTCAAATGGCCACGCCCTTCCATGCGGTCTAGCACGGGAAGCACGCGTGTGTGTGTAAACAGCATGCAAGTGCAAGAGACCCTCTTTGTTCGTCTGAAATCTCTTATCGATAACATGCTTCTAAGTTCTCATTCTGTTTTCGCGTCTCTTTCTCTCATGGGTCGTTGATTTTTCTTTTCCTTTCCACACTATGACTGTCATTTCGTTGTGGCAAGCTTCTTGGAAGAGAAAAAGATAGAGAGAGAGAAAAGCATAAGCTAGAAACAGCTTCACGGAGAAGTAGAAAACGAGTGAATGAAGGCGAAAAAAAAGAAAGGCGAGAGACATGAAGTCCTCTGAATGTTTCCGTGTCCACAGAACACGACATGTCAAAACAACGAGCCGCGTTGTCCGCGACAAGAACAAAGAACTCGAGAGTACGACTATGAAGTCGAACAAGCATCAGGAACTCAAAAACTTCTTCGTTCAGATGGAGGCAGGAGGCGGGCTACGTGTTAGGACTGGCTGTGACACGATATTGTCGTGGAAAAGGGAGTGAAGAACACACACTTCATCCGTACTTACTACCTTTTTCCATCTACTACGAGACAAACAAGGAATGAAATGGAGGTAGAAGTTCATAGGACTTTCAGACTAGTAATCGACGAAGTACATCACCTAGTAAGAACGGGTTCACGTTTTCTCCCTCCATGTCATCACACAAAGGACAGTAGGATCATCGGAAATAAGAAAGCTTTCAGAAATATGAAGTTGAAGGAGGACAAGCAAAGTGAAATGATAGTACAGTTCTGACATTGGTGGTCTAGTGTGACGTGTTCAGTATTTTGAAGATAAAAGAGAGAATGTGAGAAACGAGAGAAAGAAAACAAGAGGCGAATGGGGAGAACCTTTGGGACATCCAACTTTTTGATTTCATAGTTCTTCCTTTTTTTTCTCTTCCTTGATCACCTCGTTATCACTATCTTTCTCTCAAATTTGCTGGCACACAGCGGACATTCATCGTTCAAAGTCTTCGTCTTTTTCATCCATTTAATTGACATAATCATTTCATCATCAATTGAAACAAAAAAACGCGGAAGATTACAGCTTTCAACGTTATGAACAACTTCCAACCATTATAGTCCACAAAACTTTACGATCTCCTATTCCTCCCCCCCACTCTACTTCAACTTGTCTTTCCGATGTGCTTCTCTGATAGTAAAAAAAGCTTTGTTGTGCACTCCCCCCCTTCCCAACCCCATTCCCTCCTAGCTACCCACTCTGTTCTCCGTTTGTCCATCAGTTTGCCCGTCACCAATAGGCTCAGGCTCATTGGCACAAATTGGCAACAAGGGAAATGCTGCTTGCTGCAACCAGTATACGGCCTGACAAGCTTCAGCATTTTTTTCTTCTTCACACGCTATTTCTCTTGCAAATCCGTTTTCTCTCCGGTTTGTTCCAAATTTCCTAGCACTAGCCTTCACTCTCTACTCCCCCCCCCTCCGGGCAACAAGTAGTAGAACTAAAAACGAAACAAGCCATTGGTTATATTGCTACAACGTGGGCGACAAAAAGAACGAGACGACAATGTGCTTGAACACAAGCCCTGAGACACTAACATAACCAATTCCAGTTACAAGTTGGTTTTGACCTAAGCAAGACTTCTTCTGCTAACTTGTTAGCTGGTTTGCTGGTCGTTGACGTTCGTTCTTCGTCCCACAAACTGATGTTCCTTGCAAAAAGTGAACGAGAGCAGAACGGAGTGAGGGAAAAGACTGGAAGAGATGAGACAAGATGATGAAAATGACGAAATGTTCACAGTAAATGAGAAAAAAAAGCCTTGGGAAGAGTCATCGGAATGTTCATTTGTTTTGGCTAACTTTCCTCGAGAAGAGGAAGATGAGATGAATCTCAAACGACAACTAGTAGTTGTTCCTTCAAGAGATTTCTGCTCATATAGCCCCAGCTATTTCCTCTCAGCACTATTTATGTGTTGGAAAAAAAAGGCAAAAGACTGAGAATGTGCCAGGCATCAGATCAACAAAACACAGAAGAATAATCTTCAACCTCTCTCTTCTGTCTCTGTCTCTCGTTCTCTCTATTTGAGAGCTCATGGCACATGCAGCAGTCCGTGCTGACCAACATTCTGTTGTTGACCAAGAATGACCCTCTGGGCGTTTTAGCTGTTTTTCTGGCTTCTTCGTACAACTCTAGTGAAAGTTCTTCTCAGTAAATCACCCTCTATCTCCCTCTCTCTCATTCTCTTTGTCTTTCAACTATTTAAGGAGCAATTTGTCAAAAAACTCCCTTAGCAAATGGAAGAAAAATAAGAAAAAATCTCCCGGAAATCGAGTGGAAAAGCCAAAGTTCCACGTTTATCTGGTATTCATATCTTATATATATCAGCTAAACATACGATTTGATCAGGTCGCGAAGCGAAAATATTGAAAAGTTGATTCAAATCATATGCTCAGTGGTTCTATTGGTTTAAGAGAAGAGTTAATGAACCACACATCTCGTCATCGAATTACAAAATTTTTATAAAATGCATTTGAAAAATAGTCTTAATTATTATTATTTTAATAGACATAAGCCAAGTATGTAATACTCTGTCTCAGATTTATTTTCACATGCTTGAGGTCGTATAACGTGCATGTATGAAATAGAAGAGAAAATATACATAGATGGTGATCATATGAAAGGAATGATCCGGGCAAGAGAGGGCAAATGTCCCACTAACTGACTCAACCCCCTAAGAATTCAAAGATATTTTGTTCAAAACAACCTATGTAAGTTTGGGAATGTGAAAGAGATTCGAACTCTTCCGATTCCGCACAATCATGGAACTACTCAGACGTTACTTATAATATTGAAAAAACGATGAAAATGATAATGGATATATCAAAATTGGACATCCGCTCACGATATGTTCCAAAAATAGATTTGGTAAAGTACAAACTATGACGGGTAGTCTGGCTTTGTTCTAGAAAAAAAAGGCTTTCGAAAAACACAAACTCATGTTCGGTCAAGCCAGTAGTATGGCTGGCCGGTGATGTTGGTTGTGGGATGGTGTTGGACGAATGGTTGTGGTCCCAGATGGAAATCCGTTTCTCGAACGCACACTATGACATGAACAATGTTATACACAACCAAATAAACGATAGACTTGACCACAAAATATCACAAGAATGGAAAGAGGGAATGTGAGAGAGAGATAGATAGATAGAGAGAGAGATCAATAGATTGAAGAAATAAGAAGAGGGAGGCAATATAAAACAAGAAGAGAGAGAGTTTGACAGTAAAAAGACAGAGAGAGAGAGAGGGACTAAAAAAGGAAAGGCCACAAACAAGCTGACGATTTGACGTCTGTTTACGTGTCTGACAGAGACAAAAAAAGCTTTTTGTACTTCCATCTCATCACATATTTCTATAGCTCATAAAGTTAAAACATGTACTGAAAGCAATGATAAAATGGCATCTGAATTGAAGCGAATATCAATAGTTGCCAAATAGGCATTCTGAGCTTTTTCTCTCTCTATTTCTCTCTCTCTCTCTCTCTGTTCCACAACAGGAAGAAATGACAAAGTTCAAATTATGCAGAAAGTTGTTTGCTATATTACAAGGCCGAATTGAAGTTGATGATCATCTTGACAGAAGCAAAAGAATTCAAAGATATGAATACATGGAGACAGACAAGAGACATGAGACAGACACAACGACTCTTCTTAATATTTTCTTTTTGAAATAAAAAAAAAATTTGGAAAGTTTAATAGTTTATTTCGGCTCAAAAATATTTCGAAAAATCGTACACGTGTTTTACAAAACATTCAAAGCATCAAAGATACAAAGATCTTTTGCTTTTCTCCGTTCTTTCCATCGTTTCTTCTCTCTCCTCTTCTTTACACTGCAAATGCCCATTTCCACGTAAATTACACGTGAATATCATGCCACCAAATAGCAATCATTTTATTTCAAGCAGACGCACGGAGCGGTTGTGTTTCATCTCTCATTTCCTCTCTCTATCTTTACATCTCTCTCTTTCTCGTTATCTATCTTTTTTCTTTCAAACTTTTTCCTCTCACCCTCTTGCAATCTCTTCATGCCCTTAAATATTTTTTTATCTATCACATACTCTCTCTTATTTATATTATATTTTCATTATGTTACAATCTTTATATAGAAAACATTGGTTCGAAAACCACTTTCTATAAACGGCAAACGTGGCCGGAGAGGACTTTTTCTTCTGACAATGTGGCTGCAAGCTGAAGCACGTAGCATCTTATAAGCTACAGGACAAAGTCTTCTGTCAAACCAGAAGTTTA